CATGGCAGTGGTGGCTGAGGCTCATGGGTATTGTAGGATTTAGAGCCATCCACCATCAGAAACAAGGTTAAAATAATTTAAACTGGTGGTCCTGACGTAAGCCTATAACATCACATTGCATATCAAACATGTTCATATTAAAACATAACTGTGAGATCGTGACTGTGATAATATCTCTGACTTCCGAACTCCACATGGTATCGCATCACAGATCGCTGTCATTCCCATAATGACTGCATAGATACTGATAGATAAGCCTCTCTCCACGGGAGGCAATGGGCCTTGCCTTCCCAGCCACTGGTCACTCCCTGATTGCTGTTGACAAGGTGCTCAGGCAAATCGTCTCCCACTGGGAGAACAAATGACCCCAGGAGTTGGAACTACATAAGCTACAGTAGGTGGAAATGCTTGCAGGTATATGCACTAGTTGTATCATATCTGAAGAGGAAAAAAAACAGTACTAAGAATAAACTCTATATACTTTGTCTTGTTGTTTGTGTTTAATTTATGCACCCAGGACTCTCTGATAGGACTGAGTGTATTATCCTGGTGAAGTAAATTGACTTGAATTATATCATTAACCATTATAACTGCATTCTAAATACCATTAAGAAATAATGTTAATACCCATTAATAAAGACAACAGTGGCCCTGTTTACACCTGCATTAACATGCATTTTAGGTGAAGGGGACAGCTCTTGTCTCAAAGAGCTGCAACACACCCTCTTTTCTAAATTGATATACCATGGAGTGAATTGGTGTTTTATCTCGTAGAGCGTTCCCCATGTACAAAAAGGCTAAATCCTTATCGCAGCAGCCTGGGTTTTATTCCAACCTGCAGCCCTTTGCTGCGTGTCATCCTTTCTTCCCACTTTCCTGTCACTCTTCTGCTGCTACTATCCAATAAAGACAATAAAAAGCCCCAAAAACAATCTTTATACCACTAAGTGAATAGATGTGCCACTTGTGTGTGACCCTGTATACACTGGCGTGGACAAATTAAGAGAAATATCTTAATGCATCTGAAACATTGATGACATGACAAACTAAGTCCTTATCATCCATTATTATTGTCCAACACCTGCTTTCCTTCTGCTCTCCTAAAAGTTATGAAAGCTGTGAGTGAAGTCTGGTTTTCCTCTGCATTTTGGAGTCTCTGCAGAGCCCTTTGGCGCTGTGTGGAGGTGTGAATGCTAACATGGCTCAATCTGTATGCCACAGAGAAAAAACAATCCATGCTAATCTGCTGCCACAGTCCAGTTAGGCCAATCAGGAGGGGAATCATCTGGAGTGGAGAGGGCTCAGAGAAGCCTAGATCAGGGCCCTGATTGCAGAAGGGTGATTTACAGCTCGAGAACAATGATGGCTGCCTGGGTCAGCACTGATGGAGAGGCTCTGACTGCACCAGCGCAGACAGCACAACCTCACCTGACATTCACGCACTGATGTGCATACACGCATGAGTACACGTGCAGGCTCGCACGCACACACGTTGCCACAAAAACACACTTTGTGTTAGTCACAAAGGTACTGGGATCGACCTTGCCAGGTTTACTCTTTGACCTCAACATGCCCCCGAGGCTTGCATTTGACCCTCTGTGTTTCACTAACAACACATAAACCAAAACAACTCAGCAAGCTACTTCCTATGAACTCAGCACAGATAAAACGGGAAGCTACCTTTGCCCTGCAGCGGCGTATGTAAATGCGACGGGAAAGGCTGAGGTTTGCATGAATGAAAGAAGGAGGGAGTTCAGATGTTAAGTGTGCATATGAGGGGAGTGGGAGAAAGAAGCAGGCGGGGGGGTCACCATTAAGAGTTTTCTTTGGAGCATCCCCTTTGATCTGCCCAGTCATCATTTTGGGAAAGAGGAAGGACCACAAGGAAAGGTCTCTTCAAAGTGGCTCTGCTGGCACTGGCAGCATCTGCACCTTGGTGGTGCATTAGATCATTGTTGGCTACAAGAAATAAATCTGATGTTGGCAATAAGTGACTTTACCTCCCTTAAGATCTTAAAGGAGTAGAATATATTTTATTTGATTGCCATTTTTGAAAAAATGCTTTTGTTGAACAAAATCTAAGCTACAACAAGCACAAATAAGTTAATCCCCCCCCCACACACACACACACACACACACACACACACACACGATCAGTCACTTTATTATATTAACACAAATCCTGCCATTAGATTTTTACAAGGTTCAAAAGATAATTTACACCACTAATTTACAGAAAATAAAGAAGTAGAGAAAAGTTCAATATAAGTAAATAATAAAATAAAAGCAAGATGATAAATAAAATAATAAATGAATAAATAAATAAATATAAAGTAAAATTCATTCATTCATTCATTAAAAAAATCCCTCAAGTACTGCCAGAAAGACTTTTAAGATGATCAAAGTTTTGGATCTTTGTATTCCAACTGTAAACTTTGTCTAACTTCACAAACATCATAGCCAGGGGGACGCTAATGATGCGAATGCAATAATATCCTTTCATGTATTGTTCACTGTTCAGGTCATTGAATGGAACACTTTCACTGTCCAAGCTACAGGCATCAGACTTATGCCCACAGCTTTAAACACAGATTTAGGTAGAGATTTAAAGGCCAATAAACAGATTTCACTGCCATTAAAAGTACTGAGGTCTGCAGCTGTAACGTGCTTGTTAAAAGTGGATCTGCTCCTACTTGCATCTGCAGGAGGTATATTTGTATTAAGAAAGAGTTAATTCAGGGTTTGTCTTGTGTGTTTTAAAGTGGCCGCACTGTTGCCCCAGGTCCTGTGTGGGAGTAGAGAGGCTGGCTTTGACGTGCGATACTACACAGGCGAGATTGCTCTCAGATTCTAGAATAGGCAGGTGAGTACATGCACATGTGGCCCCCAACGCATACATTTACACACAAGCCTGGATAGAAAGTCACAGGCCCATAGGGATAAAAAGCCATTCAGAGTAACAGGAGGAGCTGAAAGTGGATATCAGCTGGGGAAAAGTTCCTATATTTGATATAAAACTCAATATATTGTTTCCTGAACATTTAGTAAAAATGTTTCATATTGCTAGCACGTAGTCTGACATTAGACAGTGATACATGGGACTTTTAGGACGTCCCTGACGGATGACAGAGATTGGAAACCATGACTACTGTTGGTAAATACAACCTGTTTTAGACCTCAGGGCCATATGAGTCACAACACCAAAACCAACACTTAATAGTTTGAGGGTTCTGCTGTCGTAGGTTCTCTTCTTTCACACTGCTGGGAACAAACGGGCAACTTCCAGCAGCCTGCGTACTGTACACCCCAGAGCCGAAGCAGGGAGGCCTGGTGAGGGTGAGAAGGCAGTGGGGGAGGTGACAGAAGATTTTTAGGGTGCCTAGAGTTTTGGGGGCTGAGTGGGTCTATTTAGCCCCCAGCAGATCCCCCCCACCACCACCACTCTCCTTCCCTCCCCTCCTCCTCCTCCTCCGACCCTCTCCTCCCCCTGGCTTTGTGTGCCCTGAGCCCACTCCTCCCCCTTTTGTCACCCGGGCATTCCGCTTTGGTTAGCACACACAATGGGCGCTCAGTGCTCACCCTCCTGACACTGCATTCTGCCTGTGCACCAGGGAGTGGGCACGGGAGGGGGAGGGAAAGGGGTCCAGGGGGGAGGGTTAAAGGATGACAGCAACTCGCCCCATGTGACCAAAATGCCATCAAGTATCACCCCCCCCTTTTTTTTTTCAAAGACTAATCGTCTAACTTCACCCATCCATACAGATGGGCAGTAAAACTAGTGCCAGCGGGCCTGGTTGGCACAGGGAAAAACAAAACCTTGAGTTTGCTAGCCACACAAATGAACAGGTGTCTCTTATGGCTGACTGGTGATGTGGAGCCCTGCCTTCATCCAGCTTGCCTCTCTTAGTCTGTGTGCCCAGCTACATGTGTGTTCCCTTCATCTTTATGCTGCTGAGCACACATCCTAAGCGGAATTTTAAGACCTGGCATCAGAACATTTTTGTCTGAAAATTAATCCCCTACATCGACAACGGTAAGAGTAAAATTGGCATGATTACAAGACCAGGCTTTACTGCTTTGACATGTTTATCAAATATTTGGAACTCTTCCTGGCCTCCAGCAGTTTTGTCCTGCTGATATAATGGCATGTCATGGCTTATGTTATTTTGTACATAGCTGTACATACACAGCTGACAAACAGATGATTCCACATATCTGAAAGTAAGCCTAAAATTAATAAACTCCCATGTATCCAAACATAAAAACTGACACAAACTTAACTGTAACAAGAGCTGCTTCCTTTCTAGTTAGTACAGATGTGACTTTTTTTTAATGGAACCCTCAACAGACACTACAGTACACCATGAGGCTCATGTGTCACCTGAAAGAATGGCCGGTGCAAAAAGTTGAGAATAAAGTTGCAGAACATGTAACTACACACTGAAATTTAATTCCTATTTTAGAATAGCAACCAGTGGAGGGCCAGGTCTGTATATGTGTGTGTGGCAGCAGCTCAGAGGCTGGTGGGGGGTTAGTTTGAGTTTCAAAGACCTTGCTTGTTCGCCCATATTTCACACCACGGTGACATCTTAAAGCCTAGACAGGCCTGGTTGCTTCGCCCTCTCTTTCACTTTCTGAGAAAAAAGGGGAATTGGGATGTGAGGGAGGGGGTACTGAAATATATGCAAATGGTCCCCCAGAGGGGATACGAATTTTATGGGTTTAGAATTTAGTTCAGCCAACCTGAATAATCAAATGTGGGAACAAAAAAACAAGTCCCCCACCATCCCACCACCACAACTCCGTACCTCGAGCTTCAACCCCCACCTCAGGCCTCATCTCTGTTCCCTCCTGCCAGGTCCTCACATAAGAGGAGCTCAGTACGTCCAAACTCTTATTAGGATCTCCTTACGGGGCAGGGGAAGGGAAGAGAAATGAAGGGGTGGTGGAGGAGGAGGAGGAGTAGGGGTTTGAGGAAAGGAGAAGAGAGGCTAGTGTACCTGATCAGGCAGAACTGCCGGCTCCTGATTACGACACCATTTTCTCAGCAGGCTTCCCAGCCTCATCCTGCTTCTGTGAATATGGAGCATAGGGCCAGCCAATCCCCTCAGCACTCCCTCTCATCTAATGGCAGAATTAAGACCGTTTAGAGTGATTTCCTCTGCCTTCATGGTCGCACTCTGAAAGAGCTGAATCTTTTTCCCTTTGCACCGATTTACAATGTGGGGGGTCTGGCATGCAACGGGTGAGAGAAAAGTTCTACATGACTGAACATAACATTACAACAGGTGGGGAATTGAACAGAGACTCTTTAGAACATGGCTGAGAACAATTTTACTTCACCTATATATCTATCTAGTTTCATTGAACCACTATTTCAGTTTAGTAGAAATGCTTTTCTCTTGTAACACACTTACCTTCGTGTGGTTTTATGAGTATACAACCAGCTTTTTCTGGGGAACTACAATCAAGACCAGTGTTCTGCCTGTTGTCTACATATCTTCATCACTGTGTTTTTAATTTTGGACACCCAAGTCACACCAGTAACACGCTTTAATGTATTTTCAAGTGACTGTAAATTGTCTATTCAGTGTTTCAGGTCATGGTCTAATGACATGATATATGTATGTGTATGAAAAAAAATTAAAAATTAAAAAGCATTCCATTTAGTTTTGAAATAATATCTGCATAAAGTCTACATTTACATTTGGAATTCATTATGAAATTAAACTGTTACTGTTATTTAGTGGTGGAAGAAGTAGCCTACTTAGACATTTTACTTAAGTAAAAGTAGCTATACCATTGTGTAGAAATGTTTTGTTACAACTCAAAGTTCCTGCATTTTACAAGTACAAAGTAAATAAATGCAAAGGTATTAGCATCAAAATAAAGTTAAAGTACCAAAAGTAAAAGTACTCATTAAGGACAATGGCCCATTTTAGAATAATGTACCATATTATATAATTGGATAACAATTATTTATGCATTAGATTTAAGAAAATAAAAGCCTCAAAGAGATTTCCTGAATTCATTGTCGACACTGATTTAGGGTATTTTGTCATAAATAAAACTAAAAACATGTTATAGATTATTAATCTAATAAATTTCGTTTTACAAACTATTTTCACATTTCATATTTCATCCAGTGAAAACGCCAATTTTGTTGATTTTGAATCCCACTCACCCTGACTTTTTAAACTTAAAAAAACCTTTGGATTATTTTAAAATGCATTGTCACAAAGCTAAAAAAAAAAAAAGCTAATTAAAAGTTGACCTTTTGGATAAACGTGGTTGAGATTTGATCATTTTACATACATGTAATCCCTAAATGGAAGTAAAGCATGCCAAAGGTTGAAAGCTGATCATGTGTCAGATCAAACTGATTCATAATGACACTAACCCAAACAGGGTGTAAATCTGGACACAAATCTGCTTAAACTCACTCCTTCTATGTCAAACTGCATTACATCAAGCCCATCACTCTCGAATATGGCATAGCACCATATCAAACAACCACAGTTGGAACCTGTTGCTTTTGTGTTTCCCATGCTTAATGATTCCCCCACTTTTCCTCCAACCTCCAGTAGACAAATCCTTCAGCTTTATTGCCCAGACTCAAGGGCTGCAGGTGCACAGGCCACAAAGGGGAGAGATGGAGGGGGGTTGAGGGGGGGTGTGGGGGTGGAGGAGGGGATGGGAAAGAGAATGGTCAGTCGGGAGATAAGAGAGGAAGGAACAGAGCCCCCCTACCCTGGTTTAACCTCTACACCCAACCATCCTACCCCTCAGCCCTGGCTACACCCCAGCCCTGTCCCCCTGCAACACCTCTCTGTTTTGCTCGACTGCCCCGCCACACGTGACAGGAGTGCAAACTGCGAGTGGTGCTGCCTGGCGCTACCAGGCCTTCCTGGGTGTGTGTGGCAGGGGACAGGCGTGGCAGAGTGGCCATGTGGCGGGAGTGGTCCTTTTCTTCTAAACCAGTAGAGGAGCAGTAATGACTATGAGCTACAGCTGTGCCCACTGAGGCTTACCCTACCTTGCCCTGCAGTGGCCCCTCAGACTCAACTCACCACGTTGCCCTCTGCTTTTGGCCTCTGCTACTGTTAGTGGAAGCTGCAGCAAGAGAATGTATAGTATTTTTGTCCACTGAAATCCATGGGAGATTCCTAAAAGAGATAAAATTAAGTCTTTTGAGGCTCCATCGGTTAGTAATATTGAAGACCTCAACAATCTGATGTTTATAGATATAAAAACAAAAAAAGTGCATTGTTACCACAATAAAGTATTAAATGTTTATTGAATAAGTCAAACCTTTGTATATTTCACCAACTGACACAGAATTACACAAATCTCTAGTTCACAGTTGAGATCAGAGACTACTTTTATGGTCTTCTACTGTCGATTCATTGTTGTCTTTAAAGTCTATGTCCATATTGAAAGTGTCCAGTCAACAGTACCAAACCCAAAGATATTCAGTTTATAATGATATAAATTAGAAAAATAGCAACAATTGAGTGATTATTTAAATTGTTAAACATTGATTTTCTGTTGATTGTAGATACTATGATCTGACTGAAAACAAAAGTGAATTTGATTTTGTTTTAATAGTATATTGTCCTTTTTACCACAACTAGTGTGGTAATGATTTGGGTGAGTGATGGGGATAAGTAAAATGGTTATTTGAAAAATTAAGTTATGTGAATGAAGGTGAAGTTGTAGATTTTATTACCAAAGCTTGGGACAGACATAATGCTGCTAGCTATAATAAAGGCCTAATATTTAAGATGATTGATCGTTCTTTCTTTTATTAGGTTTTATGTAGAGTGCAGCCTTTCTAATATTAACTCAGTGTGTTTATTGGTTTTATGTTACAGCCACATATTTGTCTTGACATAACTTTTCATATTTGTTAGTGTTAATAATTATTTTAACTGTTACTTGGATGGGGAATTGTTTGTTGTTGTTGCTTGAAAGGGTGTGTCATCCTTTTGACAAGATATAAAAATAGACATCATTTAATCCTTCACTTATTTACATAGGTAATTATTGCTGCCACTCAGTAGATGTCACTGTGTTTTTCACCTTTTATTAAATCTGTACTAAATCATGTAGTGAGCTGACAATATAGACATCAGTAGGACTGGGCTTAAAACCTGAATTATGACAATTTAAAAAAAGGGAAAAGAAATAAAACCAAAGAGGTTATGAGATAGGAGTTTGTTTTTGCGGTTGAAATGAGTCAGGTTAAGGGACTGCCTGAACAGGACACACCATGTGAGTCACAGGTAGAGCAGATTATGGTGTGGTGCCAGTGAAGAAACACCTAACTGTTACTAACTGAAATGAAAACTTGCCGTGCTGGGTCCTACTGCAGCTCAGTGCCTCCATGTTTCCCCCTGTAGACAAAAAGGCCATATGAGTTACCCTCTTCACACACAATATGCTAGCATAATACTCTATCTTGCTCTCTGTCACACATACATATATAAACACACAAACCTGCCTATGTTACTGGAGCTGCTGTGCTGGGAACACACCCTCAGGGACAGGAATAACAGGCCACTCCAGAGCAAGAGGACATCTGAGACACAGTGGCACCATACAAGCATGATGACTCTTTAACGTCCCCTTATCTCCATCCCTAATCCTCGGCCGCTTCCCTTCCCCAGCTACTGTTTACACCAACCACAAGTCAAGAGTAAAAGCAGAAAATGGACTTTCTTAATTTTGAATGACTAAAGTCCACTAGAAAGCCATTGAGAAAGGCCTCTAGTGTGGAGGGAGCCTCATATTGAATACGGATTGAAATTTACATGACAACTTAGGAAAAATGCTTTTTTATTACTCATTCATCCCCTAAATCACTTGGCTCCCCCACTCCTTTCCTCTGCCTGAGCTATTAAATCACCATCTTGACCCTGCGACCTGGGGCCGCAGCCATAAAGAGCCCCCTGCGGGTCAGAGGCCTGATTGTAACATTTGAATATGAAATGGACTTGGTTGGGCCTGGAAACAGCCCCATGCCCTGAGACACTGGCTGACCCCCAGGAGAGAGGCCTGCCTCAGCAGCCCCGGGCCCGGAGGCTCCCTCTTCTCTCAGTGAGGATTTACTTGGACTTGAGAAGGAGGGAGAGGCAGAGAGAGGGCTGAAGTCGGGGGTGGAAGGGTGAGGGTGGGGAGTGAAGCTGGGTAGGGGTTGAGCGAGAGTGAGGGAGAGGAGAAAGAGAGAGGGCAGACATTTGAATAAGACAAGAAGCGATTGGTGTTTGCATGACAAAGGAGCCCGCCATCTCCCCTGATTGGTGTCACAGTGCGGCACTAAAGCCATGCAGCCCCCCCGGGGTGGGGTGATGTGTGGAGCACAGGCATGTTTATGCATCCAAGGTGTGATATCAGGGAGGGATAGTGGGGGCCCATCGTCAAGTTTCGGGTTAAGACGTTTGTGCGCATATTCTTAAAGGAGGAGAAGTTTGCGTTATTCTGACGATAGATTTACAATTTTAAGTGAAAATCAAGCTTAACATGTCTTTTTCTCTTAAAAGAATACGCTTGAAACTTAAAGCTAGCTATAGATGCTTTAACAGAAGGTGCATTAATGGATAAACCCAATTCATTACAATTTAGGTCTTATTTTCACAGTTTGGGACCGTCTTTTCTATCAATTAACATTGTATTTAGCCAAAAGTAACTGCTGAGATCTGGACATATGATGACATTGTTACAACAAAGTCCAACACTGCAAAAAACACAAGCAATTGAGTGTTAGACAGGTTGTAAACAAACAGCAAGTAAGGCAGGTTACTATTAAACCAAAAGTTAAAGCACCCAAAATGATAGGTAATAAACTGCCAGTGCAAAACAAATAACTGGGCACAACTGCATTAAGTATGGTATATGAAAAGTTGAAGCAGAAGTTATGTCTGTAAACATTGGTGTTTACAAAGGGCAGTTTGGGTAATAAACTTACCGTTCTTGATCATAGATTCTTTCCAAATTTGGGTAACCAGGAAGTTTGTTAAAAACTTTTTGGCTCCATCTGACATATCTCAGACCTCAGCAATTGACTTGGTAGATTTAATTGTATTATTATTTATAGAAAAAAAGGCCAAAGCTACAAAA